GGGGGGCAGTAAAAATGCAGCTCAGCTGCGAGATGAACCCCCCCAGAAGAAAAAATTATCTACAGCCCTGATGGATTGAGCCATTTTTGTGACCCAGGCTGGACTCTTCCTCTCTCCATCTCCATTAGATGACAGAGAGATTGGTAATTTACAAAAGAAAGATAACCTTGGGCTTCCAGTTCAGCTCACAGAGAGTGACACGAACAGTGCATTTCTGGCAAGATTAACAGATATTTTCTGAATTTCCCTAAAAATCAAAAGATTTAATGGACCAGCATGTACATGTCAACTGAAAAAAAATATAGATAAATGTCACGCTAACTAAAAAAGGTGGAAATACACTGGAGCTTCCAGATTAAGAAATCTCCCTTTAACCTGCTTTTGTTACAACATTGTTTCTATCAGTCATGAATGAATTCTTATAATTACACAAAGCCTCCATGCTGGTTGTGAGAAAACGTCATATCTTTTGCCCATTTGCAAAATGTTTAGTCCTTTCTCAACATGTCCCCACCCTCAATACCGCACCTTCTGACCACACCCCTAAGCTGCAAGACTGGCCTAGGATCAACATACCCTGTGATGATTGATTGGCATCAGACAAGAGCACAGGCAAAACTTAAATTACTTGTTTGTTTCTGGTTTTTGTGTGCGTCACATGCTGTGGGAGAATATCAGCTATTTGAGTCAGTTACCTGGTTGCAGGCTGGTTTGTATCGCAGTTCAGGCATATTAAGTATGAGTTCTAGCTGCCGCCGGTTAAAGCTTGATACTCCAATTGATTTGGTTAAACCTGCTGCCTTACAGTCTTCCATCGCCTCAAATGAAAAAGATATATACACATTAATGGATGTGATTGGCCATAGCACTTTTTAGTAGTCTGTCACTAAAGCACAATACTATGGAGTATTTTATTTGTATGACTTATCTATTTTTGGTAATTTTAATGATTGAAAATTATACTTTTAAATGCAGTAGTTTTTTTATCACCGCTGAAGGTATTGCATGCATGTAATATTGGCATTTTTTGCAGTGTTTTGTAAGAATAAAATTTGCCCAATTTATTCTGCCTTTAAGTCAAACTCCAGGCAAACCGCTATATAGACAAAATGCATATATGACCAATGTTTTACCTGCTAAAGGATCTGTGTCTGCACATCCAGTCCTGAGATTTACACAGCACAGTCCTGTCTGGCAGGACAGGAGAATTGCTTATTTTCTGCTGCAGTTTAGAAACACCTACCGGTCTTGTCCCTTTCCTGGCCTGTGAATGAACATTAAAACAAGCAGCAGACTGATGAGCTCCATATTAGTCCAAGCCAATCCAAGGTAAAACTGCTCTTACCCCCTGGGTCACATCTATGTGGCTGCTGCGGATCCGCACAAAACTTTGTGCAGCCGCACCACCCGCACAGAGAAATGCAGACCCACGGGCGGGTGCAATTAGTTCTAATGGCACGCCACCCGCACTGGAAAACACAACCGTACTGGGCTGCGTTTTCCAAATAAGTGTAGGGACTTCTTTCCCTGCGTGTCACGGGCACGGGAGTACATTCAAATGAAAGGGCAAAATGCGGCCCGCACGGCCGCATAGATGTGAACCAGGGTTAAGATCTCTTTAAGGCTAGGTTCACATCCATGCAGGTTGCGTTTGAGCCGTTTCTGCATTGCATTTTGCACCTGCGTTTTTGCGGGGGGTTCCATATTTTTAATTTTTTTTGTTGCTAGGCAGATTTAAAACACAAAACGTAGCAAAAACGCAATACATGCTTCTCTGTAGCATTTCCATTGAAGTCTATAGAACCAAAGATGCAACCATTTGCGTTCAAAAAAGTCCCTGATCCTTTCCAAAAAACTCACCGGGTGAAAACGCATAGATGTGAATATGTCCCATAGGAAATCATGTTAAATGGACTGTACTGTGTTTCTGCAAAACGCTGCAGAAAACGCTTAGGTGTGAATTAGAGATGAGCGAATCGAACTTGGCGAAGTGGAATTCGTTTTCGAATATTAGGAAAAATTCGATTCGCACCCAATCCGAAAATTAGCAAACTTCGGATGCACGAATCAAATTTTTCCCGATCGGCCGATTTTCATCCCTTCTACAGCCGGCAAAAAGTGTCCCTGCAGAGAGCTCCGCTATTTCTGACAGTTCTCTGACAGTTCCTTCACATTTACAGCGGTTGAAACATTGTATCTATTTGTTTCCATTTAGGATACAGATGTTTTTATTCGGAAACAAATAGATACAATGTTTCAACCGCTGTAAATGTGAAGGAACTGTCAGAGAACTGTCAGAAATAGCGGAGCTCTCTGCAGATACACTTTTTGCTGTACTGGAATTCTTCTTATTTTCATCCTACTTCTTCTTCTTCTTCTTCTTTTCATCCTCATCCTCATCCTCTTCTTCTTCTTCTTCTTCATCCTCATCCTTTTCCTCTTCTTCTTCTTCATCCTCATCCTCTTCTTCATCCTCATCTCTATTCTTCTTCTTCTTCATCCTCATCTTCTTCTTCTTCTTCCTCATCTTCTTCTTCTTCATCATCCTCTTCTTCTTCTTCTTCTCCTCATCCTCTTCTTCTTCTTCCTCATCCTCATCATCTTCTTCTTCTTCTTCTTCTTCATCTTCTTCTTCATCTTCTTCTTCTTCTACTTCTTCTTCATCTTCTTCTTCTTCATCTTCTTCTTCTTCTTCTCATCATCTTCTTCTTCATCCTCATCCTCTTCTTCTTCTTCTCCTCATCATCTTCTTCTTCATCCTCATCCTCTTCTTCTTCTTCTTCTTCCTCATCCTCTTCTTCTTCATCCTCATCCTCTTCTTCTTCTTCCTCATCCTCTTCTTCTTCTTTTTCTTCTTCATCTTCTTCTTCTTCTTCATTTTTCTTTTTCATCTTCTTCTTCTCTCATCTTCTTCTTCTTCTTCTTCTTCTTCCTCATCCCTCTCCTCATCCTCATCTTCTTCTTCTTCTTCTTCTTCTTCTTCATCATCATCATCATCTTCTCATCATCATCTTCTTCATCTCATCATCATCATCTTCTTCTTCTTCATCATCTTCTTCTTCTTCTTCTTCTTCTTCTTCATCATCTTCTCCTTCATCCTCTTCTTCTTCATTCTTCTTCTTCTTCTTTCATCCTCATCCTCTTCTTCTTCATCCTCATCCTCTTCTTCTTCATCTTCATCTTCTTCATCTTCATCTTCTTCATCTTCTTCTTCTTCTTCTTCTTCTTCTTCATCCTCATCCTCTTCTTCTTCATCCTCTTCTTCTTCTTCATCTTCTTCATCTTCTTCATCCTTCTTCTTCTTCTTCATCCTCTTCTTCTCTTCTTCATCATCATCTCTTCTTCTTCATCTCTTCTTCATCATCTCTCTTCTTCTTCATCTTCTTCTTCTTCATCCTCTTCTTCTTCATCTTCTCATCTTCATCTTCTTCCTCATCTTCTTCTTCTTCATCCTCATCCTCTTCTTCTTCTTCCTCATCCTCTTCTTCTTCATCTTCATCTTCATCTTCTTCTTCATCTTTCTTCTTCTTCTTCTTCTTCATCTTCTTCTTCTTCATCATCTTCTTCTTCATCATCTTCTTCTTTTCATCTTCTTCATCTTCTTCTTCATCATCTTCTTCATCTTCTTCTTCATGTTTTTATTCGGAAACAAATAGATACAATGTTTCAACCGCTGTAAATGTGAAGGAACTGTCAGAGAACTGTCAGAAATAGCGGAGCTCTCTGCAGATACACTTTTTGCTGTACTGGAATTCTTCTTATTTTCATCCTACTTCTTCTTCTTCTTCTTCATCCTCATCCTCATCCTTCTTCTTCTTCATCCTCATCCTCTTCCTCTTCCTCTTCTTCTTCTTCATCCTTCATCCTCATCCTCTTCTTCTTCTTCTCATCCTCATCTTCTTCTTCTTCTTCCTCATCTTCTTCTTCTTCTTCTTCTTCCCTCATCTTCTTCTTCTTCTCTCCTTCTTTCATCCTCCTCATCCTCTTCCTTCTTCTTCATCATCCTCATCCTCTTCTTCTTCTTCTTCATCCTCATCTTCTTCTTTCATCTACTTCTTCTTCATCTTCTTCTTCATCATCTTCTTCTTCTTCATCTTCTTCTTCTTCTTCATCTACTTCTTCTTCATCTACTTCTTCTTCATCTACTTCTTCTTCATCTTCTTCTTCTTCTTCTTCATCCTCTTCTTCTTCATCCTCATCCTCTTCTTCTTCTTCTTCATCCTCATCCTCTTCTTCTTCATCCTCATCTTCTCTTCTTCATCTTCTTCTTCATCTTCTTCTACTTCTTCTTCATCCTCATCTTCTTCTTCTTCATCTTCTTCTTCATCTTCTTCGTCGTGCCCCGTGACTGCCCAAATGAGTGAAGTGTGCGGTGATTCTAAGATCGACGGCACTCATCTGCATGTCATACTGACTGACAGTATTATTTCTCTTCCCCAGCAGACTCCAAGGGCATTTAAATTAAAGGTACAGTGTTCAGCACTAATATAAAGGCTCTCTGAAGCCTAGAAACCCTTTTAATAAGTTAAATTCGCAGCGAATAAATTCGCATCGAATCAAATCTATTCCGCAAATTCGGCGAATCAGCCGAATCGAATTTTTGAATAATTCGCTCATCTCTAGTGTGAATCTAGGGTAAGATCTTCATGATTAAGCATGCTTTGGGGTTAAAGGCGTTGGAAGAAAACGGCTTCATCAGTGGATAAAGTGACAGCTAGGAAATCTTTGCAATAACGTTTTTACTGTGACATATCTGGAGTGCAGCCTGTCAGTTCCTGCAGAAGTTCCAACTCCATGTCTCTTTGCTCTCTCCTCCTTTCAGTATGTTCTTTGTTAGCACCGCAGCATAACACTGTGTGAACTTAAAATGTTTGAATATGCAGCAGAGCATGCTTGTTATACTCACTGTGGAACCTAAGGGGTTAGTCCTCAGCATTGTGTAAAAAGGCTGTTTTATCCTGTCTTCTCTGATCCTCCCCTTCTTATACTGTCCCCAATCCATCTGCTGATAGTACAGTACAGAGCTCTAGGAGTCACTCTGCACATGCTCAGTTTAGTGTGTATGGCTAGAGAGGTTTTTTTTTTTACCTTTTGGAGGGTGCATGTGATCAACACAAGGAGAATCAACACTGTCCAGACAGAAGGTCAGGGGTTATGCAGCCTCATAGGACAATCAGAGGAGAATGAAAACTCCTCCTACAAGCTTTAACCAGTGCCAGATATTCCTGCAGCTCCTTTAATGTTGCTGTAGGCCTTTTTGGCAGCCTCCCAGAGCAGTTTACTTCTTGTCTTTTCATCAATTTTGGAGGGACATCCAGTTCTTGGTAACTGTCTTTACTGTGTTCCATGGTATATCTAATACCTTAAAAATTCTTTTGTACCCTTCTCCTGACTGATACTGTTTAACAATGAGATCCATCTGATGCTTTGGAAGCTCTCTGTCGACCATAACTTTTGCTGTAGGATGCGACTAAGAAAATATCAGGAAAGACCTACTAGAACAGCTAAACTTTATTTGGTGTTAATCAGAGGCACTTTAAATGATGGCAGGTGTGTACTAACTCCTATTTAAAATTATTTTAAATGTGATAGCTTAATTCTGAACACCGCTACATCCCCAGTTATAGGAGGGTGTGCACACTTATGCAACCAGATTATTTTAGTTTTGTATGTTTATTCCCCCCCCGCAAAAAAAAATAAAAAAATTCAGTTTGTTTTTTATCCGAGTTGTACAGTTTATAGGTCACATTAAAGGTGGAAAAAGTTCTGTAATGATTTATCTTTGTCTAATTTTTTTACATCCCATAAACCTGACATTTTAACAGGGTGTATAGACTTTTTTATATTATTATTATTATTATTATAATACAGTATTTATAAAGCACCAATGGTTCGCTCATTAAAATATCCACTGTATAGTGAATGCAAGGTCCTGGGTTTAGTAATACTTTAAATACAATACATGTAATGATGGATTTATGAATACAAATCTGCATTAATGTGTCTCTTTTATATCTGTCCTGAGTTCAAGTTTTGTATTTCAATGGTTTTTATTTATTTTAAACATTTTCAACAAAAAAAGAACTGAAGCAAAAGGCACACCCACGCAGGGGCTGTCAATGGCACATAGGGTACAAAAGGAACAATGCTACAACATCAGCAGTGCAAAAGGTACGCCCGCACAGGGGCTATCAATGGCACAGAAAATGTGAAAAATATAGTGTTATAACTCCAACAGTGAAGTAAATCGAAGGCAGATCTCTACCACCTCACAAAGGTCAGACAAAGACAAAAAAAAAAAAAAGAAAGGAAAGAAGAAAAAGAGAAGACCAACAGCAGGGATCCGAGACCACCTAATACCGATCAACAATCTAGACCCAGACTAGCCGGGGGGAGCGTAGGAAAAGCGTATGTCCACCACGGCTTTCAGATTTTCAAAAATTTACATTGGGAGTCAGTACAGATACTCAACATATGTTCATTAAGCAAGTGGACATACGGTACTGCACCCCCTGCAGAGGCACAGATGTAATATTTCAGGCTTGAGCAATTGTTCTCGTTGCTGACAAGAACAAATAGGCCAATTTCTGCTGGTGAGCCAACAGGCCCGGTATGGGGCAATGAAGCAAAGCATACCAGGCTTCCCGGCAAATGGAGGGATAAAACAGCGTGTAGAGAAGGCCAAATACACAAGACCAAATCCGAATCAATCTTTGGCATTATCACCATATATGTATGTAACAGATCTCCACGATGGGAACAACCCCGAAAGCAGCAATCACTATAGGTTGAGTTCGCCTGGGCCATACGAGCCAGGGCCAATACCAACAGAACAATACTTTGCATGCTGCCTCCAGCGTGTTTGTGTTGAATGAACATTTAGCTATAAATGGCCAGGCCTTATTCCAGTCCTCTGGATCCACGACCGCCCCCACGTCGCGTTTCACATATGATAGGGAAGTACGCACCGAGCTCCTGTTTAAAGATGCATAGAGTAGGGAAACAAGACCCGGGGCGCCAGGACGCTGTTGGCAAAGCTGTTCAAAGGCATATTTCTGATATGGAAAGGCTGAGGTGCCACGCAGTGAGGTCAATTTCAGTCAATACTGAAATTGAAGATAATAAAAAAATCCGCCTGAGGGACATTCTGTGATTCCCGAAGAGAATTCCAGATTCCAGGTGGGGAAAGACTGCAAAGTCAAGAAGTGTCGCACCTGCGAAAAGCCATGGGCTACCCACCAGGAGAACACCCCAGGTTAAACTAAACCCTGTGGGGAGAGACAATTATTAGTAGCTCGTCTGAGATAACATTAACAATAACATATAAAGCCATTTATAACTCTGCCCCAAATTACATCACCGATCTTGTCTCTAAATATCACCCAAACCGTACTCTCCGCTCCTCTCAAGACCTCCTACTCTCTAGATCCCTTGTTTCCTCCTCCCATGCTCATCTCCAGGACTTCTCCAGAGCTTCCCCCCATCCTCTGGAACTCTCTACCCCAATTTATCAGACTATCGCCTACTCTGCTCACTTTTAGGCGATCTCTGAAAACCTCTCTCTTCAGGGAAGCCTATCCTGCCCTCAGCTAATACTGGAATCTTCTACTCTTCCAACCAGTCCATCCCCCACAGTTACTACCTTTTGTACCACTAGCCCCTCCCACCTAGATTTTAAGCTCCAAGGAGCAGGGCCCTCCTATCCCTCTTGTATTGAACTGTATTGTTGCTTATTGTCTCCCGCTTATATTGTAAAGCGCTAAGCAAACTGTGACATCAAGCCACTAGAGAGGCAAACCGAGTCCCATACGTGCAGGCTGTGGAGCAAAAGTGGACTCAAAGTCATCGGGCGTAGAGCAGGGGGCAATCATAGAAGCATTCAAGTCACAATAGGGGCACAATTAGGTAGTTCCAAAAGAACCCAGAGAGGAACATCAGAGGAGGCTTGGAACATGGACAGTGGGGCTATCTGGCTCGCCTGATAATACTTGGCTACATCAGGCACCCCCAGACCCGCCTTGCAGCCTATGAACAAAAAGCGTATTTCTGGAGACTCTGGGTCGCCGGTCAGCCCAGATAAATCACATAATCCTCGCCTGAATCAGCCGAAGGAAATAAGAGGGAACCCGCACTGGAAGGGTGCGAAAATAATATAATAATTTTGGCAGGATAGTTATTTTCACCAAATGAACTCGTCCTATCCATGACAAGAACAGGAATTACCAAGAGCGCATAAGACAGGATACGGAACGAAGCACAGGAAAATAATTGGTAGCAAACAAAGTGCCATAGGTGGGGGTCAGGTGGATACCCAAGTATTCAAGCGAAGATGAAGCCTATTTGTAATGAAAATGGGACTCCAAGTGCAAAACCAAATCCGAGGCCAAAGTGATATTGAGAGCAACAGTCTTATCTAAATTTATACAGAGGCCTGAAATTAAGGAGAAACACGCAAGAACCTGTTGCAAGTTTGGGAGCGTCGTCAATGGATTAGTGAGAGTCAAGAAGACATCATCCACAAAAAGACAACTTAAATTCCTGTCCTGCGTATGGGACCCCCCCAATATGTTACAATCAGCCCGGAGCGCCAAGGCCAACGGCTCAAGAGCCAAGACAAAGAACGCCAGAGATGGGACATTCCTGTCTCATCGTTTGCCAAATAGGAAAGGGATCCGAGAAATACCCTGCATACTTAACTGAAGCCGAAGGGGAAGAATAAAAGGCCTGAATCCAAGAAAGGATAGAATCACCGAAGACCTAGCGGGACAACACGAACCGCAGGTATTCTCAGGATAAGGAATCAAAACCTTTATATATGACAGAAAGAATCCCAGAATTTCCGCTGTTGCAAAAGGTGTATAAGGTGAACCACCTTACGATCTGCCTGCCTCCCAGTGACGAAACCCACTTGGTCCCCATGGACCAGGGTACGCAAATATTTATTCATCCGAAGACTGAAAATCTTGCCCAATATCTTCAAATTTTTCATTAAGAAGCGAAATGGGCCGAAAGGCTTGCGGTTCCGGCACATCTTCTGTTGTCTTTAGGAATCATTGAAATATGAGCTCTGAGCTCATCTGGGGAGGGCAAAGAGCCCTGTTGTAAGTCATTGAAGTAACTAGCCAAAAAAGGGCACCAACAGGGTTGCAAAATTCTTGTAGTAGAGGCCCGAAAAGCCGTCCGGACCCTGGGCCGCAGAGGACCATAAGGATTTGATAGCTTGAAGTACTTCTGATACAGATACACCTGCATTAAGGGCTATCTGCACCGCTTCCAACAATACAGGGAGCCTTAAATCTTGAAAGAACGCTTCTGTCTGAGCTACAGGAAAGGGATCTGGTTTAGCGTACAAATACAAAAGGAAGTCCGCAAAGCGTGAGACAATCTGCTGGGGATTGGAAGTATAACCCCTCGCAGGGAGCCGCAACTGGACCGGCTTATAGGGTTTCCCCACAGACTGGAGTTTCCTAACCAGCATCAGACCCAGCTTATTAGCAAAGGTATAAAACCTATGTTTGGTCCACCGTAGGGCCCGTCCAGTTCTGCAGCCAGGGTGTCTCAAGTACGTTTATGGGCCGCGGATGGGTGTGACTTCCAACAAGTATCTGCTGAGGCCAGAAGAGAATGAAATTCCAAAAGGCGCCGCTCCCTCTTCCTAACCGCAGCCAGCTGTATTATGTGGCCTTACTCGCCTCCCACAGGGATCCTGAGTTGTCCACAAAATATGTCCGTATGAAGGATTCAATTTGCTGACTGTTGACCTGAGTGGTCAATAAAGACTCATTAATATGCCAATACCTGTGCCATACCCGAGAATGCAAGAAGTAGGACCAGGGGATCATGGTCCAACCAGGGTGAGGAAGGGATAGATATCTGCCTGACTAAAGGAAGCTGTTGCACCTGCATAAATACGTGGTCAATGCTACAAAAACTGTCATGAGGATTGGAGTAGAACATGAAGTCACGCTCAGTAGGGCAAAGTTCCCTCCAAATGTCTACCAGCCCTGCAGACTGCAGGAGCGAGCACATGCATTCCTCCTGCACCCACTCGTGAGAAAGGGCATAGCGCCTATCTAGAGCGGAATCCAAGGTACATTTGAATCCCCCAAAAGGAGAAGGCCCTTAGGGTGATGGGAAATTATAGAACAAAGATGTGTGAAAAATTTGTGCTGAAAGCGATTAAGGGCATAATAGGAGACAAAGGTGACCTCCTGTTCCCAAAGGGTGCCCTGCAAAAGTAGATACCTGCCCGTGGGGTCCGCTATATTCCGGACACAGGTGAAGGGGAGATTGCATTTGAAGGCTATCAGAACACCCTGTCGTTTCTCTGGAGCCGAAGCCGTGTAAAAAGTGGGATAATGAGGCGAAAGATACCGTGGGGTGGAGGACTGGGAAAACTTGGTGCTGCGATTTAAGGTGATAGAACCGTTTCTGAGGCAAATTAAAACCTTGTACATTTTGTGAATGTACTTTCAAAAGGGGCGAAGCCATTGCGGGATCGGTGTAATCCACTCAGCAGAGATGGCATAGGTCGGCCAACAATTTCCACTCCCAGGGACAGCAAGTCCAAAACAGAAAGGCCAGGAAAGAGGGAGAGATAACAAAAGCAGGAGAAAAAGGAACACACAAAATATGTACAATGGCACTGCCATATCACACCTCTGGCAAAATGCATCCTACACTCAAAGGATACCAGTTTGGGGTGGCTCTACCACCGGACACATGGCTGTAAATGGATACATCAATACTGTTAGGAGGCACTGATAGGCAGCACTGATAGGCGGCACTGATGCACAGTGATAGGTGGCACTGATTGGCAGCACTGATAGGTGGCACTGATTGTCATTGATAGGTGGCACTGACTGGCACTGATGGGTGACACTGAAAGGCAGCTCAGATGGGCACTGATATGTAGTATTGATGTGCACTGGTAGGCACTGATATGTGGCACTGGCAGGTGGCATGGATGAGCATTGAGAGCTGGCAGTGATGGACACTGACAGGTGGCACTGCTGGGGCTACACAGATCATCAGGGCACACTGATCATCAGTGCCCTGATGATCAGTGCACATGTCCCCTCTGAGGAATGTCGATTACCGGCTCTACTCTCCTCACGAGCTGTCAGTGTGACAGCTTGTGAGGAGAGAAATGCCGATAACCAGCATTTCCCTGTTTACATGCGATCTGCTGTGATTGGACACAGCTGATCACATGACCGAGCCGACATCTTCGGCTCTTTCCGTGGATCGGTGATCCGCTGTGTCTCCCGGAGCCGTGCATGCGTGGTGAGAATGGGAGGACGTCATATGATGTCCTCCCAGAATGAGAGAACCGCCTTGCGTCCGTCATTGGACTATATGGCGGGCGGGAGGCGGTTAAAAAACAGCCACTCACCTGTCCCACGATCCTGCGATGTCCTCCCCGCAGCCCGTTTCACCAGCCGTCTGGTGTTCCAGGCGCCAGCATCTTTAGTGTGGGCATCCGGCTGTGACAGCTTGCGGCTTCACTGTCAGGTGCCCACTGGGTAGGAGGACAACTTCCACTTCCGATCGCCTAGGCGATTGCAGCGGAAGTGGGAGTGGGTAGCTGTCAATTTCGGGTACCCCCCGCTTTAAAAGTGTTACTAAACCCAGGACCCCGCATTCACTATATCCAGTCTCCTACAGTACACACTACATGGAAATACAATTATTTTAGTAAAAATAAACTGCTAAATACCTTTTCTTATCAGCAGTTAGAGCAGTCTTGTGACTTCTATCAGTGTCCAGCAAAGCACTGGTTAAAGCTTGTTGGAGGCGTTTTCATTCTCCCCTATGAGGATGCAGAACCCCTGACCTCTGTCTGGACAGTGCTGATTATTCCTGTGCTGATCACATGCACACTTCCAAGAAAAAAAACTGTAGCAATATACACCAAACAGAACAAAGGCTTGGAGGCAAGCTTCACATGCTCAATCAGGAGATGGATTGGGGACAGTAGAAGATGGGGAGGATAAGGGAAGACAGGATCAAACAGCCTTTTTACACAATGCAGAGGATTAACCCCTTAGGTTCCACAGTCAGTATAACTAATATGCTTTACTGCGTATACAGACTGATTTTACTGTTGTGGGTTTAGTAACACTTTAATATTATAGGGCCATTTATTCTAAACTGCATACTACAGTTTCAGATGTATTCTTCATCAATGTAGTGTAAAAAAAATCCAGGCCACATTTTCTATACATTGCATTGATGTTGGCCAACAAGTCTGAAACCAGTTTATGCAGTTTGCATCACCGTCAACTGTAAACTTCACCCGTAATTGAACTAGCTTTGTACCTTCCAAGTGTCACGAATGTCTGTGTTGTAATAGATGACTTTCCCGTTCTCATCGCTTGGATAAGGGTCATCACCAGGCTGTTATGTGGAAGAAAGAAAACAGGTTTAGTTGTGATATGGAAAACTACCATATGGGCAATGCACTAGTAAGATGTTTTAACTGTTTAAATATAATCCAGATATATCAAGATACTTTAAAATATAGTACAGTTCCTTTGTCCTGCCTTTCCCTTCCTTGAGCTGTTATCAAAGGTCTACAAAATTTGCTTAGTTTACATTCAATCTGTCTACACTCTCAGGTTAGAGAGACAGGCCCACAGACCAGGGCAGTTCCAGAACTGGCTGCCTGAGGTGGGGAGTGGCAGTCCTCAGCATCATTTTCACAAGTTTTAACATCTTTTTTTTTTTTTTTTAGCATTTTGTGATTTCTACAGATTACACAAGTGCATTGCCGTGCAGAAATTACCTGTTTTTGTCTCCAGACAGTGAAGACCCAGAATAAAACAGGTATATATAGCAGATGTCATCCATACTGTTCTCAGTCCTTGTCTACAGTCAGTGCAGACTCCAGACAGGGTGAATGTAAGCAAACCAATGTTTTAAAACATTTTAGCCAGCTCGCAGGTGCCTACAGATAGGCTGCTGTTAGTTCAGGGTGTTTGAGATGCCCAGGTGGGGGAAAGGGTTAATGATAGGTTTGCCGGTTTCACAGGTCTACATATAAATAGGGGTAAGGCCAGGCTCTGGGGTGGCTGGCAGGACCGCATGGGTAGCAAGAGGGTCTGAACACAGAGAAGGATGTAGCACGAAGCAATGTTCACCTGACACCCTTACGGGACTCTCCACTAATGGACTCTGCCAATCTTGGATTTAAACCTGTACAGGTATGCCTGGGAAGCCAAGAATAGTTAGAAGAATGTGTTCCACTTTATGCTGTACTGTTGCAGAACATACAAAAGGGAGAACAAGGGCCTGTAAAGCACATGAGTTACTAGAGTCGAGCCACCACAAAAGGATTAACTCAGCAGAAAAGTTGGGAGTAGAAGAGAGTAGTTGTCATGGGTAAGCATGAACTGGTGACAATGTAACGCAGCCAGACATCAAGGAATGGTACTAGGATGGGGTGACGGGTGATCCGGTAGTGAGGGGGGGGGTGTAGTCCACCTTCCTTCCCTAGTGGTCAGTACCCCAAAAGTAACTGGAATCCAACCCATGGTATGGGTGCCCCATGTATCCAGCTACATTGTACAAGAAAGAGAAGGGGTTAATTATGTGCATGGTGGTACCCCCCATTCTGTCACTGGGAAAGATGAGAGGGGAGGAGAGGTTGCTATCCAAGCTGAATCGCACTGCAGCCGATCCTTGAATCGCACTTGAAATCTACAAGGAATTTGTGTTTCAGTGTAAAACTAGCCTTACAGAAAAGGATGCGATCAAATGGAATAATCTTACACTCTAATAATTTTTGGGTGCTCCCACGAAGGGTACATAAAAGTTTTGGTTTGCATAGAAGTTTCTTTTTAATAGTACCTTGAGTTCCATGGGATTGTGGATAAGGAATAAATCCATGTAGTCTAGCTGAAGATCTCGCAGGGACCTTTCAATTGCAGGTCGTACTCTCTCAGGTGTTTGATCAGTAAGCCAAAGCTAAAGAAAAAAAGACCAAAAATGTTATAATAAAAGTAATATAATTTCACTAACATAATTTTTCTAATAATAGGGGTGATTTAGTTTAATGAGGCAATCAATTAATATAACTGAATAGATAAATAGTGCTGTAAACTCAGTAAACCTAACCAGAAAAGCAAAAGTAAACAACTGACAGAGCCCCTAACTAAGGTGATATAAATGCATACCTAGAAAATAACCAAACACAAGCGAATGAAAATAACAAGAATGACTAGATGCTCTGCTAGGCAATACCAAATATGAACAAATCAATAAGTGAAACTTCAACGTCAAGACATAAATAAAAATAATACATTTTATTTATTTATATATAAAATCTCAAAACACACTAAATAAATCTGAGCCCTCAACCCAGTGACAGTCTGTGAATAAATGTCCATAAATGTAAAAAGCAAGATCTGTAATGCAGAAAAATCTTCAAATCAACATATACTGTATTCCACATGTGCATTGAAAAGTGATCACCCTTAAAAATGCTCCACAGCTATCGTTCACACTTACCTCCCATTTTGACCTATAGGGAATATAGGTTCAATACGCTGTAAATATCAACCCGAAATCCAACCAATCTGATACATCCATGTTTAATGTATAAAAACGAGGTATAGAATACTCAACTTTTAAAATCAGGCCTATACAACCATTAGAAATAAAATACATTGGAACAGGTGTACCAAGATGGCAGCTGCCATCTGACCGGAAATTATTTCACCACCCTTCCCTCCCAAAGAAAACCTGGACGTATTACACTATGAGATGTCCTTTGATGTTTTTTTGAACATGGATTTCTGAGGAGGAATTTGAGGAGCCAGTAAAGTACACTTACAGAGGAGAGCTGGTTGGTGTTAAAGCCCATTCGACCTATCTTCCCTATAGATCAAAAATGGGAGGTAAGTGTGCACGCTAGCTGGGGGAGGATTTTTAGGGGGATCACGTGTGGAAGATTAATTTGAAGATTTGTCTGCATTACAGATTTTGATTTTTACTACATTTATGGACATTTGTTCACAGACTGTCAATGGTTTGAGGGCATCAGCTAGTTATTATTCAATATTTTATTTTTATTTTGTGAATTTTGAGAATATATATATATATATATATACAGTCATGGCCGAAATTGTTTGGCACCCCTGATATTTTTCCTGAAAATCATGTATTTCCCTCACGAAACGTATTGCATTAACACATGTTTTGCTAACACATTTTTATTCCCTTTGTGTGTATTGGGAACAAAACAAAAAAAGAGGAAAGAAAGCAAATTCGACATAAATGTCACACAAACCTCCAAAAATGGGCTGGACAAAAGTATTTGCACCCTTTCACAACTGCGGATAATAAGAATGTTACAAGCATTGATGAAACCACCTGGGGCAAGTAACAGGTGTGGGCAATATAGAAAATCACACCTGAAAGCAGATAAAAAGGAGAGACGTTCACTTAACCTTTGCCTTGTGTGTCTGTCTGTTGCCACACTAAGCTGGACAACAGAAAGAGGAGACGAGAACTGTCTGAGGACCTGAGAACCAAAATTGTGGCATTTTTGACAAGTCCATCTCCAGAGAACTAGGATTTGCCTTTGTCTACAGTGACGCAACATTAACATCAAGAAGTTTTTGGCACTGTAGCTAATCTCCCTGGTCGTGGACGGATGAGGAAAATTGATGAAAGATTGCAACGCAGAATAGTCCTAAGCAGCCCCAAACATGTTCCAAAGACATTCAAGCTTTTTCAGTTCAGCGCGAACTATCCGTCGACATTTAAATGAAATAAACGCTATGGCAGTAGACCCAGGAGGACCCCACTGCTGACACAGAGACATAAAAAAAGCAAGACTACAGTTTTGCCAAAATGTACTTGAGTAAGCCAAAAGCCTTCTGGGAAAAACGTCTTTGTGGACAGATGAGACCAAGATAGAGCTTTTCGGTAAAGCACATCATTCTACTGTTTAAACCGAAAACGGAATGAGGGCCTACAAAGAACAAAACACAGTACCTACGTAAAATATGGTGGAGGTTCAAATGATGTTTTGGGGTTGTTTTGCTGCCTCTGGCACTGGGTGCCTTGACTGTGTGCAAGGCATCATAGGATTACCAAAGGATTTTGGGTCGCACTGTAGGGCCCAGTGTCAGAAAGCTGGTTTGCGTCCAGATCCTGGGTCTTCCAGCAGGACAATGACCCCAAACATACGT